ATTTTTTTTTTTACAAGATTCATGTCATCAGTGTATATTTATTTTTCATCTTCCTCATCATTGGTGAGAATGAGAGAGGGAGCTGGAGTGGATGGCAGTAAAATGGCAGTGGGCAAAGAAAGTATAGAAACAAGTGGACAAAGGGAGAAGTGTCAGAACGGGGTCACTGAAGTGGCAGAAAATCTGCAGAATGAACTTCTGGGCTAGAGGTTAGACCAGCAGAGTCTACCTCCCAGGTGCACCCAAAGGCTCTTCCCCCAAAAAGGAAGGTCAGTGTGCATGAAGGACCACACAGTGTTCCCTCAATCTTGATTTATTTTATATCTTTGTTTTTATGCCAGGTTTGCCCACAGTTCACCTGCTCCCAACACTACATGGAAGGGCTTGTTAAATTTCTCTAAAACCAGTGGAGTAGGACAGGGAGCTGGTTAATGAAAGCAGCTACCTGAGGAAAGATTTCAGGATCACAATATTTTTAATGAAAATAATATTATCCTCAAGAAAATGATTACTGTTTTGTACAATTTAAGGTACTGATTTAAAAAAAAATAGATGACTAGTTAAATAGATTACTCTGTGGACATATAGTCAACCTTACGTTAGCTGCGTTCAGAAAAATAATCCAGACTACTCTGACGGTACAGTGTCATGGAAGAGCCCTGGTGGAGGAATCTAGGTTCTAGCTCAGTCTTTTCTTTTTGCTTGCTATGTATATCTGGCTCTCCACCTGGAAGTGAAGGCTTTTTGACTTGAAGTTCTTTTGGAACCCTGTCAACTCAAGTATGTTGGCATGTTCTTTGGGTCTCTGAGATTGTGGGAGATCCTCACCTCAGTACCACTGTAGTTTTCATCTGTTCTCAAGTAAGATGGGTGGGGTGAGGGAGCTGTTACATGGAGACACATTGTGTGTGGTATTGGTAAACAGAAGGCCAAAGAGGCTCCATATGAGTGAATATGAACACTCAGTTACCTCCTGCTTTTTCCACCAGATGGCAGACATTTAAAAGACTTAAGAATTGTCTAGCTAAGACTTCAAAATTGGCTGACTTAAGAAATGAAGAATCTATAAGTTAATGCCATAACTTATTATTATGTGTATATCTTAAGCCCTTTTGAACTAATCAGCATTTTCTTCAGCAGTGAAAATATGGAGTTACCTATAGTAAATTTAGGATTCTTTTATCAAAGAGAGGGATATGATCAGTTTATGAAATCATCATGGGTAAAATCATCAATGGTATAAGAGAGAATTAATGAATGCTGGTATACTAAAATGAAGGAACATTCTTTTAAATCTTGAAATGGATAAAGATGTAAAAATGATATTTATTAACACTAAAGTTGCTACCATGTGAAAATATAAAAGTTTTCCAGGCCAGGCATGGTGGCTCACACCTGTAATCCTAGCACTCTGGGAGGCCAAGGCGGTGGCTCACACCTGTAATCCTAGCAGTCTGGGAGGCCAAGGATTGCTTGAGCTCAGGAGTTTGAAACCAGCCTGAGCAAGAGCGAGACCCTGTCTCTACTATAAAGAGAAAGAAATTAATTGACCAACTAATATACATAGAAAAAATTAGCCGGGCATGGTGGCGCATGCCTGTAGTCCCAGCTCCTCGGGAGGCTGAGGCAGGAGGATCGCTTGAGCCCAGGAGTTTGAGGTTGCTCTGAGCTAGGCTGACGCCATGGCACTCACTCTAGCCTGAGCAACAAAGCGAGACTCTGTCTCAAATAAATAAATAAATAAATAAAAGTTTTCCAGCAAATGTGGGGAAACTTATACATGAAAAGTCTATTAATGAACTTCAGAAGAAATGAGAAATGCTTGGGGGACATCTCTGACCTCTGAATGCAACATAAGGGAAGCAGCTGTCCACTTTTCCTTCTTTGGGGTTGGCAAACTTTTTCTGTAAAGGGCAAGATAGCAAATAGGCTTGCAGACCATCTGGTCTTTGTCTACTCAACTCTGCCATAGAAGGGTGCTTAGCATGAGGTAGTCATATAAAATATGTAAATGAGTCAGGTGTGCTGGCACATACCTATAACCCCAGCTACATGGAGGGCTGAGATGGGAGGATCACTTGAGCCTAGGAAATTGAGGCCAGCCTAGGCAACATAATGAGATCCTATCTCTAGAAGAATAAAAAATTTTAAAAAATTGTTTGAATATCTAAATGAATGGGTATATCTGTGCTCCAGTAAAACTTTATTTACAAAAACAAGCAGTGGGTAAGATTTGGTTTATGTGCCAGAGTTTGCCGACCCATTTGAGAGTGAAAGCTATCATCCGTATTTTCCCTTTCTAGGCCTCAGTCTCTGGCTCTGTCAAATAAGGAAAATAGATTAGATGATCTATGACATTTGTCAGGTTTTATGTCCTTTAGTACCTCTCTCTGAGGTTAAATGATCCACAAGGCTGACCCACAGTGACATTTCTTTTATTTGTAAAAGAAATTTTCAATTTTTTCAAATTTTTTCAAATTTTCAATTTTTTAAAAATCCAGTTTGAGCAAATTTGTAAGTCTCTATAGCAGGGTTTCTCAGCCTTGGCACCGTTGATATTTTGGTCTGGGTAAGCCTTTGGGGGTAGTAGGGGTAGTAGCTGTCCCGTGCATTATAGGATACTTGCAGCATGCCTGGTCTGTACCCACTTGATGTCAGTAGCAGCCCCCTACCCTCCCTCTATCTGTGACAACCAAAAATGTCTCCAGACATTGCTAAATGTCCCCTGGGAAGCAAAATCACTCCCAATTGGAAACCACTGCTCTAGAGACTTTAAGAATAAGTAGAAGAATACTAAAAAGTGGAAATCAGGCTATGTAACCCAGACAACCACCAAACTATCAAACACATTTATTCAGGTACAAGGTCAAAAAAGCCAAAACTAAAAGAACAGCCAGCTTATCAGAAAGGAAGGGGCAATGAGAATTGCATTCATCCAAAGGGGGCTGGAAAGTTGGTAGCAGACCACTTTTTAATATTGATTTAGAACATTTTATGAGTGTTCCTGAGCCCAGTGAACCCAAATCGATGGCTATCTATAATGAGTAGCTGAAAAGTCAAACTAAAACAAGAAAACATGGGTGAAGAGAGATAGAAACAAGATCATTATTGAAGAACACCAAGAATATTTACTTTTTCACTACTTTTACATTGTTTAATGAGATCTCTAGCAGAAAGAATTCATACTGGGTGAATTCATTAACCCTTGTCTATGAGGCCTAGAGTTTTTCATTTTGTTTTATTAATATTTTGTTTTGCTTTAAATGGACTAATCAAATGTGGCTTATTCCTGTTAGGGTGGGGACTCAAAAGGAGCTCACGATGCAGGTTGGAGAAAGAATTCTTACACAATGAGTAGAATAGTTTTAAATAAACATAGTTTATTTTACTTCCCAAAGGTGGGAAGGGCACAACACAAGAGAAAGAAAGAAAAATGTCAACAGTGAGGGTAGGGGATTTGGGGTTTTTATTAGGGGGGTAAAGAGAAAGAAAAAAGTTTAAAAGGGATTGCTGCCAGCTGATAACAGAAATGGCTGTAAAGCAGCTGACTTTGTTTTTCCATTAGTATTTTTTTTCTCTATGAGGCCAGCTTATCAAAGTCCTTGAAGTATGGTCCTGGCAGAACTGACACAGACAGCTTGCACCCCTACTATCCACTTAGGGCTCTTCAAGGCTGTTAAAAAACAAACTTCTTAAATAAAACAATTTAAGCCACAGGTATATGATCAAAGGGGCAATTGTGTTGTGATCTTTCCCTTCAAAATGGCAATTATGTGTTGTGAGTTTATTCCTCTTACTTTCTGTTTGATAGTTTATCCTTCTTTCTGTTAGCTAGTTTATTAACAAGGCTGTCCTTTCAATTTCCACAATGGAATATTATTTAGTGGAGAAAATAAATGCAGTACAGCTTCACACAACTGCATAGATGGATCTTTGAAGCTAGGTTTTAAATGTCAGTAAAGCTGGTCATTAAACAAGACTGTATCATCTAGTTGCCTTATGATTTAGCTATGATTGAAAGCCAAAATCGTCTCAATTCAACAATAAGGGTATACTTGATTTCCTTTCATGTTTTATTTATGTCCATATTATTTCTTTTAAGAATTCATTCTCCCAGTTGTGACTGATATTAATCATAGCTGACAAACCCTGAATATCCAAATGGGCTTTATTCAAGAAGTTTTAAACGTTTTTCATTTTTGTCTTGTTTTTGCTTCTTGTTTTCTCTTATTTTCCTTACAATGACTTAAATGCCAGGTGATGTTTTCTGAACAGTAATCTGAAAGCTCTAGAAACACTAAGTATAGTCTCAGACTCTGCTTTTTGACTCCCACTGTGACCTGTGGCAGGTCTCTTTCCCTTCCTAAAGAAATGGTTTTTCATCTATAAAATGGTACAGAGATTCCCAAACTCTGGTACCAAGATGGCCACATAAGTACCATCTTTGAAGCCTTGTTTAAAATTTAAGTTTCTGTGCCCCACGCCCAGATTCTGATTCTGTAGTCTAGGGTAAGGCCTGGAAAGCCCAAGTGATTCTAGTACACAGCCAGATTTGCAAAGAATTAGAGATGATCTCCAAAGTTCTTTCAACTCTACAATGCCATGGATCTATGAAATATTTAATATATATTTCCCTAAATGTCCTTTGTTTGATTATTTTTCTGGGAAGTTTTTTATATCCTGCAAGAAATAATTAAGATTAATACATTGTAGCACCACCAACCCCCAAAACACACACATTGATACAGCTTTATGTAAACTTGCTTTGCTATAATGTGATCAGTTTATGGCTCTGAGAGATCATCTTTATCCCCAGTATGTGCTGGAAGATGGTTTCCCTTTTTACCAGGATGTCATTTCATAGCTTCTGTGTTTTCAGTTTGGGACATAGAGAAGAATTTAATAGTTTGATATCCTGATTTTCATGTAACCATAAAGTGGAATAAAATTAGAAATTCTGTCTGGTTGTTAATTTCTGTCTATTTTTCTTTAATTTACAGAATGCTCTTTTCAGTTGCATTAGCAGAAATGAAAGTAAGTATATTGTCAATGGTTATACAAGTAGTCCAAAGAGCAAAAATACAGTTCACAGGCTGTGATTCACTTTTTTAAATATTGCCAAGACCCTGGCATTATAACTTAGGCTGTTAGTAAGCCGTCTGGAAGAATGTGCACAGCAGGATTCTGATACACTCTTTCCTCTGGGGTGTTCAGGTCATTCATGTATTGTAACAATTCCCATGTCCTAATTGGAGGTTTACAGAGCAGATACTACAGCTAGATGTGAGAATGACCATGACCCAATAAATAGGACCACTTTCAGAAGTTAAACACACCCATGTTACATAATATAACACTTGCCAAGAGCTGCCTCTCAGTTTTTTAAGCAGACATTGATTGATTACTTGCTCAGTGTGGTGCAGACACACATCTGTGGAGGACACAACCTATATACAAAGAATTCTGGGATGCAATAGGATATGAGATAGTGTCACTGATAAAGCACAGCAGGAGTTCAGAGGAAGGAGGGATCACTCCTGCAGGGATACTTAGAGGTGACTTCATGGAGTTGGTCGCTGAACTGGGCCTTGAAGGATGAACAAGATGTGAACGGTGGAGCCTGGAGGAAGAATAGTGCGAGCAGTTAGAGACGGGAAAACACATCTAAGAAACAGAGTTGTTTAGATTAGCTTGGCAGGGATATATTGAAAGATAATAAGAAACATTAGCTCTCTATACTTTATCTTCTGTCCTTTCTAACCGGGGCGTTAGTGTGTAGCATGTAATCTTATGTTCTTCCACACTGGTGAGGAAGCCAGCCTAAAGAGGGAATCAGAAGATAGGCATCTTGTCCTATTCCTACTTATCTATTCTTATATGTCCTCACCATTCCCCACCACCACCCCCAGTTTATCCCTCTTAAGGTTTACAGTGATAAATATAGCCATTAATAATTGTTCTTTGTGATAAAAATGAAATCTTTGGCAATAGGCTTAGTAAACTTGAGAGTAATTGCATGTCAAAAACAGATGGCACAATAAGTATGGAACAGCTTCCTGGCCTAGGAAGCTGACGCTTGTTCTATATCAGTTAGTTCATTCATCTTAGTTCAGTTAATTTGTATTTAACTTTATCATTGTCATTATTTCTGGAAGTCACCTGAATTCCCTGTTCATTGGTCTATGGAATTCACCAGAAACCTGATTCTGATTCCTCCATGCCCATCTCTAATAATTATCAGAGATTTCCTACCTACCTTTCTCTTGCCACACCTCTGCCCTGTTCCCCTTAGTCTCCCAAAGACTCCCTTAAACTCCTGTGAGGGGCTCCCCATCATAAATCTTCTCCATCATAAATCCCACGTCTCCTCCCCCAGCCACTCATCTAGCCTTCCCATGATACCTTACATGGCAGCCCATTGATTTTGTGAAAATACAAAACCTAGAGTCATATTTATTTCAAATATATTTTTGCAGTATTAAAGCAGGTCATATCAATCATGAGGTAAAGGCTATCTCAATTTAGGTATATTCATACAGATAGATGTTCAAACTGCATAGAACTTTTGGGATTTTGTTTTAAGATCTACCAGTATATAATTGTCAAATTTACTAAATGATCCTGCTACCTCTTAGTTTCTACTGGTTCTGTTTTATAAATGTGAGGCATTTGGATTTAGGTTTACTTTGCTTTGCTTTGTTTATACACCTACACAAGTCTAACATGGAAGGAAGCTGTGTCTGTCAGTGGTTCTCAACACAGGCACTCTTGGCATTTTCATTGCAAGGCATTTAGCAGCCCTGACCCCCATGCACTAAATGCCTACAATAGTCCCCGTCATCATGACAACCAGAAATACTTCTACACACATCCAAACTCTTCTGGGGATGGGGGTGGGGGTGGTACTACTCCTGTGGAGAATCATTGGACTATAGACTATAAATTGATAAATAATGACTTTCTTATACTAATGAACATTTAATTGTCCCCTTGACTATGCCAGAGAAGTGCTGATTTTAAGGGCTTGTCTTAATGTAGCATGGTTTTATTTCTCACATTTAGAAAGACATATTGTTCCATCATTATGATGATGATTTAGTGTTAACAAAAAGCTGTTTTCATTTCAATATCCTTTCTTTTTTTCCCCATAGTGGGCTCAGTTTGTTGCAGTTATGCAGGTCATCATACAAACTGTCGAGAATACTGTCAAGCTATTTTTCGAACAGACTCTTCTCCTGGTCCATCGCAGATCAAAGCTGTAGAAAATTATTGTGCCTCTATTAGTCCACAGTTAATACACTGTGTGAACAATTATACCCAATCTTATCCAATGAGGAACCCGACAGATAGTAAGTAATACAGAAATATTCCTCTCATATCGGTTTTTGGTCTAAGAGTTTGTATCTATGTTCTGGTAGATATCTGCAGTCCGGGTCATTTGGGGAATACCAGAATTCCTTTGGTATTTAGATTTGGCAAATTGAACATTATTGTCACAGCTAAAAGGTGCCAAGAGGGATGGAACTATAGAGGGTATGAGGAAACAGGAATTCTCTATTCTGAGGGTGAGAGAGTTCATTAGCATGGATGTTTTGTTGGAGGAAGCTGGGTAAGGACCATTAGAATTTCAAATTATCATTACTTTTAATCTAGTAGTTCCATTTCTCATAATTTATCTTATAAGAAAACTTATACAGATTCTCAAAAATATATTGTTTATGCATATATAAAGGATATTCACTATAACATTGGTATAATAAAGAAAAATTAGAAATAACCCAAACATACATTAATAGGGTATTGCTTAAAATTGATTAAACAAATTATGATATCTCTATATTATAATAACAATTTACAACCAACAAAAAGAAAGGTATATGTTTACATAGAAAGAAATCTAAGATATATTTAGCAAAAACAGGTTATAGAACTAAAGGTATATATAGTGTGATACATTTTTAGTTATATACCTAATTGTTCTATATTACATATTTATATAATGTTTGAATTTTTACCAATGAGCAGTTACTACTTTTGTAATTTAAAAATCATAAGAATGAAAAGAGAGCCTGGTATTTTTTTTTTAAATCAGAAGCTCCTAATGAACCTGCACCTCATGGGGGTTTTCAAAGTCTCAGCTTTGTATGTCCTGGAATGGTTTTCTTCAGTTAGATATGATCAGATTTTAGACAAGTGTCTGATTGACCAAACTGACAAAAGACTGACTTATAAACCAGATGCCAATGTTTTGATTTACACTGGGATATTAAAAGGCTTGTTTTTGTAACTCAAAAACAGTGTTGTGTGCCTTATTTGGCCACCATCTAAATCAGAACTCTATTGCTTTTGACAGTCTGTCGTGTGACTGTGGTGAAAATCAAAGAATGAAGCTTTTGCCACAACCAACCTTCATTTGCTTTAAAGGCAGATATGTGTTCCCTGACAGTTAGGGTATACAAAGGTGCTGCTGGAGCTAAAGAGATAGAGCTCAAAAATCAAAAGTAGAAAGATTTTAAGGGTAGAAGAGCAACTATCTCTAATGTCTGTACTAATACAGAGGAATCTGGAAAAGACAGCTACAGATGGATATGCCTGAATAGGTTTCTTCAAAAAGTCAAAGACATTTGAGAAAACTACTTCAAAGAAGCTTTTCTGAATTCTCTGGTCTGGTTGAAAAGTGCTCTTTCATTTTCTGATTCTTTGTAGAAAATTAAAGGCAGAAGCAAACTGATATCTTGTCAGAGTTTGCTATTATATTAATATTATTTAAATTAAAACTTAGATTAATTAACATACACAGATATGTAAAGCTTTATGCTGTCCTAGAATGTGATGAAATACAGTGTTTGTGTTTGTTCTATAAAAATTAGTCATCTCTCTAATATCATAATCTCTTTTAGGCAGTTTCTAGCAGGAAATAATTCCAGTTTGATATATAATACCTTTTCCAGAAACATGTGAGAATTTCTTAGGTGTAGAATGGCCTTTTCATTTTTGTAAGGACAGTGCTAGAGATCTCATGATTGGGGACAGTGGTGAATTCTGGTAATAGACACTTCATCCAATGGTAGCTCCTCACTTTTTTGCTAAACTGCAAAGTAATAGAGAGAAAATTTGGTAGGCCTTGTATTCTGCAGATATTGCCATATAACTAAGAGTAGTAATGGTTTCCACTATATTGCCATGTTCTGTTCTGAGCAGGGCATGATTTAAAACCAGTTAATTAAGACACTTATATTCTGAAAATGTAGGTTTATATTGCTGTGACAGAGCAGAAGACCATGCTTGCCAAAATGCCTGCAAGAGAATTCTGATGTCTAAGAAAACAGAAATGGAAATTGTTGATGGCCTCATCGAGGGTTGTAAGACCCAACCTTTGCCTCAAGATCCTCTATGGCAGTGTTTTCTTGAAAGTTCACAATCTGTTCACCCTGGAGTCACTGTACACCCTCCTCCCTCTACAGGCCTTGATGGGGCTAAATTGCATTGTTGTTCTAAAGCAAACACTTCAACATGTAGGTCAGTATTTCATTTTCCTTTATTAAAATCAGTAGAAAATAGCATTTTAATTTATGATTTTAATCCTAGTAAATGTATGTTATGAATTGCATTGTGTAGGTTTAGCATTTAGAAGATATAAAATCTTTCATTGCTTCATCTCACAAATATTTCTTGAGCATTGTATAGTGTATACAAAACATTGTTTTGTACATTGAGTGCTAACTAAAAGCACTATGTTTTGTGGTGTGGAAGATTGCATTGCCAGGGCAGTAAATACCTAAAGATGACACAATATGAATTCTGCCTTACCCTCATAAAGACCATTAAGTAAGCTTACAGTTAGAAGATGTTTTGATCTGACATCTAAGGGATATTCTCTTTATTAAATTATGAAACTTTGTACTTAATCAACTTTTTGTTTTATTGATGAATATAATCAAATTTTTGTTATATTGATGAATAATTGGGTTAGCACTATAACCAAAGTTAGATGGCAGTGTATTGGCATTCATTTGAATGATACACTTAGGGATAATAAATTAACAGTACAAATATCAGATAGAGGAAACATAAATTAGAGACAAGATTAATGGAGATAACTAAGATCATGGTAGAACACAGGTGAAATAGAAGCTTGCTTTATTAGAAGTATTTTGGATAAAAAGGGACTACATGTTACTAAGATAACCTAAAATGAATATAAGATACCAGGAGTAAAACAGTCTTCCATGTGGTTTCTAAATTAGATGGACCTTTAGCAAAAAATTATGCCTGGAATAGCTCATCAAACTTTGGTGGCTATCAATCAAACTTTGGTAAATAAAAAAAAATATGACTAATATTCAAAGAAAATTAACAGACAAGCTTAAAGAGAAGTTAAGTTGGCTCTGGAATTAAGGAAATTGGGTTGCTTATAGAAAGGTCAAATGTATTTATGAGAAGGATGCTGAGTGGTTCTTTGAATGCCCACAAAAGGGGTTATGCAAACATAGAATCACTGGAGATTGGAATGGCTGTGTATTCCCAGAATAGCTTCAGTGAGAAACACTGTTTCCGTACTTTGATGTAAGGTTATATGGTCTGATGAATGCTTTCATTTCCATCAGATTTGATTTTCATGAAACCTTATGAGATAATTGGGTAAATTTGTATAATTTTTGTTTTACATTTAAGAAACAACTCTGAGATGTTAATCTGGCCAAGGTAAATGCAGGTTGAACATCCCTAATCTGAAATCCAAAATCTAAAACTTTTTGAGTGCTGACATGATACCACAAGTGGAAAATTCCACACCCAACATCATGGAACAGGTTGCAGTCAAAACATAGTCAAAACTTTATTTTATGCATAAAATTTTTTAAAAAATATTATATAAAATTACATTCAGACTATGTGTATAAGATGTATATGAAACATAATGAATTTTGTATTTAGACTTTGGGTCTCATCCTCAAGATGTCTGTCTCATTAGGTTTATGTAAATATTCCCAAATCCAAAATAATCTGAAATTCAAAACACTTCCAGTTGCAAGCATTTCAGATGAGGGATACTCAGCCTGTATAGAAAGTTAAAGACTAGAGAAAGGACTGGTTGCCAGATCAAGGTACCTGATGTAACATGGTCTCAGCTTCCTCATCCCCATAATGTATAAGCTCCATTGAAAGCAGGGACTTTGTCTGTTTTATTAACCACAGCATTTCCAGAGCTTCAAACAGGTCTTCACACAAAATAGGCACTCAGTAAACATCAGTAGAGTGAATGAACAAAAGTAAACGTAAAGATAGCATCCTCATGGGGTAATTCTGAGAGTCAAATAAAATGTGGAGAGAAGAGAGAATTTTTACTTATGACTTTGTATGTTTCATTAAAATATGAAATATGAAAATATTGTATAGTGGACATGTATTACTTTTATAAATAAAAAATTAAACTGATGAATGTAATGTGTGAAAGCACAAAAATAGTAAAGATCTTTTAGCTATATATGTACATTTAAGTTGCTTTGTAATCATCTAGTACTAAAAATAATAATGTCATGTATTAACTACAATAGTGTACAGAGGCTTAGGAATATCTTAAGGAATATAAGTGACTCTGGTATAATTTTTCAGGGAGAAACTAGTGAACCCTAAGTTTATAATGTTTCTTAAATGTTTATCATGTCTCTAAAGACGATGTCACAGTTTTTCCTTCTGTGATTGTAAATATAGGGGAATATATCTTTGTGGGAGCAAACCATGTGCTTTACTTTAATTAAAGGTAAAAAAGAAATCAGAAAGATATAGGAGGAAATAATTGTGCCAAGAATTAAGGATGTACTAATATTATAATTAAACATTAAATTTAGCACTGAGATTTAGCAACCATGGCAAAGGGGGAAGAAATGGATGATAAAAAAAAGACTTAACTGTTTTTCATGGAAAAATTCACTTTTTCTGGCTCTAAATTCTAGGAGATAGTCATTTGGTTTTTGTACTTTTTTTTCTCAGTTATGTTATAAATTATTATATGTAACTCATAAAGTTCTAGTTTTATACAAATCAAATATTTATTTATTTGGCTCATCTCTATATTTTTGCACTTGTGCTCTTGTTTCAGGGAACTGTGCACTAAACTTTATAGCATGAGCTGGGGCAATACACAGAGTTGGCAAGAATTTGATCGCTTTTGTGAATATAATCCAGTGGAAGTGTCCATGTTGACCTGTTTAGCAGATGTCCGGGAACCTTGCCAATTGGGCTGTAGAAACCTTACTTACTGTACTAATTTTAACAACAGGTAGGAACAAATTATTGTACATGGAATGGAAATATTTTATTATTAATTATCTGATTTTTAAATAAATAAAATTACTACTTTACTCTGATTTTGTTTCTGTTGGGTTAAAAGAAAGTCATATTTCTTTATGATTTCTTCTTTAAATGCTATGTTCCATCTGGTAACTAACCTCAGGGAAAAAAGCATGATTGTAAAGTCCCTTCTAATCTAGAGATACCTCAAACTTCTGGAATTCAAAGAATCTCTTCTACCTACAGTCCCTTCTCCCTTCTGCTGCACCAGTGGAAACAATTCATTGCAGAATAAATCATTGTGAAGTATTTGATCATCTGAATGTCCTCCTGAGTCCAGTTTACTTTGAAGGACCTTCAGACCTGTTGAGCTTCCTGCTCAGTGAGTCCCCTCTTCCATACAAAAATATTTACAGAATCGTTTCAAATAGGTGTTAACCTGAGGTATTTGGTAGAGTAAGAAAAATACAGGGCTAAGGACTGAGCTTTCGAGCATATCCACAGGTAATGGTTAAAGAAACAGTGAAGAAAACAGAAAAGGGCATCCGGAAGCACCAAACAAGAGAACTCCATGTAGAAGCCAGAGAGGAAGAGTTACTAAAGAAAAGGTGGCTGGTTTTGTGAGCTGCAGCCCAGAGATCAAGAGGGCAAAAGGGAAGAGAATCATTTAGTTGGGCCAGAAGGAGGTTCTAGATATTTTTGTCAGATGATGTTTACCTCAAACTAACATGTAACTATCCTTTTAAAAGTATTCACGTTATTACTTTGAGTAAGAAAATCAAGATATCTTTATAACTGGTGATAGAGTGTTAGCTAACAAAGACCTGGATTACAGATTGATTAAATTTGAAATCTATGAAATATTTTTTGTAAATTATACCTTCATTTTAAAAACTTGGGCCAGGTCGGGCGCGGTGGCTCACGCCTGTAATCCTAGCACTCTGGATCAGGAGTTCGAAACCAGCCTGAGCAAGAGCAAGACCCCGTCTCTACTATAAATAGAAAGAAATTAATTGGCCAACTAATATATATAGAAAAAATTAGCCAGGCACGGTGGTGCATGCCTGTAGTCCCAGCTACTCTGGAGGTGAGGCAGAAGGATTGCTTGAGCCCAGGAGTTTGAGGTTGCTGTGAGCTAGGCTGATGCCATTCACTCTAGCCTGGGCAACAAAGCGAGACTCTGTCTCAAAAAAAAAAATAAAAAAATAAAAAATAAATAAAAATAAAAACTTGGGCCGGGCGCGGTGGCTCACGCCTGTAATCCTAGCACTCTGGGAGGCCGAGGCGGGAAGATTGCTTGAGTTCAGGAGTTCGAGACCAGCCTGAGCAAGAGCAAGACCCCATCTCTACTATAAATAGAAAAAAATTAGCCAAAACAACTAAAAAAAAAAAAAATAGAAAAAATTAGCTGGGTGTGGTGGCGCGTGCCTGTAGTCCCAGCTACTTGGGAGGCTGAGGCAGGAGGATTGCTTGAGCCCAGGAGTTTGAGGTTGCTGTGAGCTAGGCTGATGCCATGGCACTCTAGCCCAGGCAACAAAGTGAGACTCTGTCTCAAAAAAAAGAAAAAAAATTGGACTTATTTATTTTGTACAATGAAATAAATGGGATGGTCTGGGGGTAATAGTCTTGTCTAGAGCATTTTAAAGTTTTAAACTGCCTCACAAAAACCTGTGTTAAAAGGAAATCATGCAATCAGAGTCTTAATGCTAGTCTATATTGAATCTTCATATACTCGAAGCTGATATCCTTTAATGGGTTGTATGTGCTTTCTCCTCTTTAAGAAAATCAGATTTTTCTGATATGTTAGTGTGTCAGGACTTTACTCATTGCTTCTCTCTGGAAAATAATTGCTTCTTGATTCCTTCTGAATTTTTTTCTCTTTAGGCCAACAGAACTTTTCAGGAGTTGTAATGCTCAGTCAGATCAAGGAGCCATGAACGACATGAAGCTGTGGGAGAAAGGAAGCATAAAGATGCCATTTATCAATATACCTGTTCTTGATATTAAAAAGTGCCAGCCAGAAATGTGGAAAGCAATAGCCTGTTCACTGCAGATTAAACCTTGTCATAGTAAATCCCGGGGAAGTATTATTTGCAAGTAAGTTTGTTTCATCATAATGATTCTCCAGTTTGGGTTCAGAGCTTCTCTTTAGAATTTTCTCTTCTACCACTTTCCTTTGCCTATGACCCCCACATGTCAAACGCTTTCACACTTTTTCCTCCTCTATTGAAATACTGTTCACCTCATCTCCGTTTGCCCACTTCCTGTCCTTCTTGTCTTCTCTCAAATACCAGACATTCCTACTGAGGCTTCCCAGATTTCTCCAGCTGATAGTAATTTATCCTTACTACAAATTCCTATGACCTTTATTTGTATGTTTCTTATGGAACTTAGTTCAAGAAACATTAAATACCTTTGATGCAGTGTTCTATTTTTATATTTTAATTTGTATACTTGTCTTATTGTCTATTAGACTTTGCTCTCCTTAAGGAGCTTATTCTTCTTTGTGCCATTTTTCTTTTATCCTTGTTCCTCTTTTTCTCCTCTTCAGATATTAGCATAATCATGACACATAATAGCTATTCCATAAATGTTTAATGGGTAAAGGAGTTAGTGAATACAGTCATTAGGACCTTTTGCTAGTAAACATTTTTGAATAGTTTGGGAAATCTAGGAAAAAGTAAAAATAGGAGCTTCTATGGTGATCAAAACCAAAAGCATTTAACTACATAGTAATCTATGTTAACTGCTATTCACACGTCTTGTTTTCCAAAAGGTTTTCCAAAACCGAGTTAATATTTAGCCCCTAAGTTGTTGGTATGTGGCTCAGTGCTGGTGGGTACTTGATGACTCATTTCAGATTATTTCAACCTTCATCAGAGTCCAGATCTATTCTCTGATATGACTTGGGGATGACCTGAGTCAAGGAGACACCCAGGTATAAACTATTGGGTGACAAGCAAGAGGCAATAAGTGGGAAATATGTAGACTCTTAGCATAGCAAACTTATAGAAGAGGAATCAAATCCCTATTGAAGACTAAGAAAATTTTAAAGTAATGGACTTTCCAGTTGTTACAGGTCAAACAATTTCCTTTCAAGGATGGTAAAAAGCCACATTGATGGTAGTAACAGTAAGTATAAGTATAAAATTTGAGCAAGGCTTTTGATCTCAGATAAGAGAAAGTTAGGGATGCCTTGAATTTTTTATTGAACCTGAGGTCCACTGTTGACTCCTGTTTCCTTTTGCCATGCTTAACCTAACCAATTATGAAACATGATTAAATTGTAAAAACTTACTTTCTGGAAAGCTTCAGAAGCAGAGGTGATATTAACTAGACAGAATGAGGTTCGTTGAACCCTAAATGTATGTGCATTTTTCTTTTCAAGATCAGATTGTGTGGAGATCCTCAAAAAATGTGGAGACCAGAACAAATTCCCTGAAGACCACACAGCTGAGAGTATTTGTGAGCTTCTATCACCCACAGATGACCTGGAGAATTGTATACCTTTGGATACATACCTCAGTAAGTACTTTTTTGATTGTTTATTCTTTTTTTTTAGATTTCAAACACTGTCTCTTCCATCTCTGTCCTTGCTGCTTATTTTGGATGAACATCTATCTGTTGAGAACATGTGGTTCAGTAACAGCATCTCAATCACAGACTCTTATCTTATTTTCTTGGCCTTTTTGGCCCAGGAAAGAATTGTTATCTTAAAATATGTAAGCAGAAGTGATTATCATAACAGTCTGAGGAGGTATAAACTGTTGTCAATCAGTCTAAGCAGTGAAAAAGGGGGTCAGCATTCTCAAATAACCAGCTCCATATAATTGCTGTCTCTTTGCCATAATAGCACTGAAAGTGGAATTTCCCCTCAAGAGTATTCAGCTTTTTGTCATCAGAGTATCTATCAGTGGACCTCAGCCAGGCATAGGCTTGAACTTACCCACCCAACAGGGTGTAAAGAATGACAATCTGGGTTAGTACATGAAAATGGAACTTATCTCACTGCTTTAGTCTGTCTCTGCCAAATACTCCTGCCCGGAGCTAAAAGAGTACGTTGTTATCTCATTGAGGGATCCTTGAGCTGAGCTTCTTGGCAGTGAGGTGACTACATCAACCAGGCGATGACAAGCAGAACTCCTACACACTCCTTAGTTAAGATAAGGGAAGTGTTCAGGCTGCCACCAGGGGGCATTAGTGCCCTGAGCTGGCTGTAAAAGCAGACAGTGAATTTAGCTCCTACGTGCTTAGTTTTCAGCGTCAGATAAAATTAACAAATGACAGAACAACAAATAGAAGTAAAAGAAAGTCCAGAAACAAATAGTCCAGGGCTGTTATGCTGGCTTCATCATCAGGAATCCAGGCTCCTTTTATCTCTCTCCACCATCCTTAGCACTTGACTTCGGTCATCAAGATTACTTCTTATACTTTATCACAACACTGTTACTTGTGTTCTAGCCACCATATTCTAGTTTGGTGGTAGATTCTAGATGGTAAAAGGGAAGGAGGAGAGCAAACAATTTCTCCTTAATCTCATTGGTCACCCCTAGTTGTAAGGAGCATTGGGAAAGGCTATCTTTTTAGCTGTGGGCCCATTGCTACCGTATGTAAAATTGGAGATCTATTAGTAAACAGAAAGAGAAGAGTGAGCACTAGATATGTAGCTGGTAATATATGCCATATTTTCTCAAGACCAACAAACTATGTCCCTTAACTTTTGTGACCAATATAGCAAAAAAGTATTAGACTAGAATTTAGACCTCTGTAACTTTGAGCAGACCAATTCTTTGAGCCTCAGCTTCCCTATTTATAAAATGATCAGGCAAGATGAGCTGAACCAAGGGCCCTTATACCTCTATTAGTCTTAGAGTCTGCATCTGTCCTAAAATCAAGTAAACAAAACTAATGTGTTCACAATCCTAGACTCTATCACAGAAGTCAAATGTATGTGTAGAAGGAAACTATTTTAATGGGAAGAAAATTAAAGAAATGCTTTTGCTTGAATTTCAGTAATCTGTTTAAATATCACACATACTTTATTTAAGTGAGACTCTTCCTTAGTCATGATTTCAGAAGTTAAAATATAATCATGGTTTGGGGTCCATACTATCATAATAAGTTATCATTTATTATAAAACATGCTAAATTATTCCTCTTAGAATTAGCACCTATTTGACCACCCTATCCAAAATATACCTGTCACTTTCTTTTTTTTTTTCTTTCTTTATTTATATTTTTTATATATTTTTTCTTCTTCACCCTGTTTAAAAAGTTTGATACCTGTCACTTTCCACCCCCAGATACTACTTACTACTTATAATTTTCTGACTTTATTTTTTATCTATATACACACACACACACATACAGTATATTTATTGTTTATTTCTCTACCAGATGTAAACTTGGTGTTAAAGACTTATCTGTTTTGTTCATCACTGTATCTCCAGTGCCTAGAACCTTGTCTGGTATATTGTAGGTATCCAATAAATAAAAGAATGAATGTATGGTATGTATATTTATGCAAAACTCACAAATAATGAGTGACTGAGTATTTTAAAAGCTTAGTAGAATCAAGCCTTACTTTATGCTCATTTACTCTTCATTTATTCCAGCCATAATTAATGCAGATAATTTACAGACCTCTGTTACTCTTTTAAGTTGGTTAAACTAATCTGTTTTGTGTTTTTCAGGGCCAAGTACTTTAGGTAACATTGTAGAAGAAGTGACTCACCCTTGTAACCCAAATCCTTGCCTGGCCAATGAGCTCTGTGAAGTGAACCGAAAAGGATGTCCATCCGGAGATCCCTGTCTTCCATATTCTTGTGTTCAAGGTAAGAGGTAGGTGGGTGTGGGTGTGGGATGAGTATGGACAGGTGCTGCTGGTGTTGCTTTATAGGGGTTATCTTTGTAGTGAGGTTATAAGGACTTTATTTTCTATTAATATATATGTTTTTCTGTAATGTTTGAGGTTTTCCCATTAAATGTGTATTATTTGTGAAAAAGACAAAGACACATGTAATTTTCAGTTGTCATTTAGATTGTAAACTAATAATATTCATCTAAAACTTGACTCTCATAATGAGTTATAGGGTTTTTTACTACAAAGAAAAGAAAAGCTTAGACCAGCTTTTTGTACTTTCTGTTCCATGCTGTAATGTTTAAGAAAATGTACTATACATTGTTTTTTGGAGGTTTTTTTTAGACAGAGTCTCACTTTGTTGCCCAGGCTAGAGTGCCGTGCCATCAGCCTAGCTCACAGCAACCTCAAACTCCTGGGCTCAAGCAATCCTTCTGCCTTAGCCTCCCGAGTGGCTGGGACTACAGGCATGCACCACCATGCCTGGCTAATTTTTTCTATATATTTTTAGCTGTCCAAGTAATTTCTTTCTATTTTTAGTAGAGATGGGGTCTCGCTCTTGCTCAGGCTGGTCTCAAACTCCTGAGCTCAAATGATCCACGCGCCTCGGCCTCCCAGAGTGTTAGGATTACAGGCATGAGCCACCTCACCCGGCCTCCTATACATTGTTTATGATTTTTCTTTTCTTTCCTTTAGTATGTAGAGAAATGGCATACTCAATAGGATATATAATTATCTCCATAAAGGTTATTATTATATTCAAATGCATATGATTTTAAGGCTAAAAGATTTTTATCCCATTGAATTTTTTTTTATTCCATGATTCCACACTCTGAGTGGCTTTTCACAGGAAGCTTTTGTTCAGTATTATTTTTTGATTTGACAGACTGTGCAGTATCCCATTGAATTTTGATAGTCTTTATCTCTCTGTCAGTCCCTTTTGAATATAGTTGTGGCAACATTTTGCTTCTTTTTATCTATTTCCCAATTGAAAATGTTTCTTTATCATGTTAGAATCAACATTTTTAAATATCTCTAAAGTAAACTGGAACAAAAGGTTAAATAAGCATGATGTCTCAAAAGATCATCTATAATATTTATATAATACCATAATATATCAGCTGTATATTCATAATAAGTCTTGTTAAAATTAGAAATATTGAGCTGTTTGAAATTTCAAGATACTATTTTCTGTCCATTTATCTTTACATTAGAATTTAGTCAATATTTTCTATGGCAAGAAAATAATACATAGTTACTTAAAATGGTGATATCTGTATTCCATATTTAAATATGGAATTCAATTCAGAATTCTCTTGTTTTGTTAAACTCAGAAAACCCATCTTGTAATCAGATAGAAATATATAAGATATAAGATGATTTTTCCTTAATCTCACCTAAATATTGCATTTTTCTTTGAATTTAAGGTATGCTTATATTCTATCGCTAAAAGTTTTTCTGATGAAGATTATTCTAAAAATACTGTCAGTTTCCATACTCCATTTAAAAAATATCTGTGATTTTTAAATATCTTTGATTATCCCGAAGAAATAAAAAGCTATATATCTTAAAGCATTTTGATACTGAACTATAGGTAACTTTGAGATATAGGTCTTTAATCACTACCATCCCTTAGAACATGGAATTTTAATTTGAGAGGATATTTTTTTGGCCAGTAAATCAAAGCAATTCCTTAATTTGATGAGAGTTCTACTGTGTAATCTTTAATAGCTATACAGTACCTGTAAGAATTTTGTAAAGTATGTGTCTAATATCATAAAACAATGTCATAGAACAATACCATCTCTCTCAACTAATGTCTGTACAGGTTGCAAATTGGGAGAAGCATCTGATTTCATTGTCCGTCAAGGGACACTAATCCAGGTGCCATCATCTGCAGGGGAAGTTGGTTGTTATAAAATCTGTTCGTGTGGACAAAGTGGACTCTTAGAAAACTGTATGGAGATGCACTGTATAGACCTCCAGAAGTCTTGTATTGTTGGGGGGAAAAGAAAAAGTGAGTCTTGAACTGTATTTGGTTTTGTTTTTAATATTGTATTCAGCTGGGAGCGATAGCTCATGCCTTAATCCCAACTGCTTGGGAGGCTGAGGTGGGAGGATTACTTGGGGCCAGGAATTCAAGACCAACCTGGGCAATATATTGAGACACCATTTAAAAAAAAAAATGAAATAAGTTATCCTCACCTTGTAGGAAGAACATTGTATAGATTCTCACCAAAGAGCAAAGGATAAGGTCTGTATATCAGATACTCTAGGGCAGTATTTTTCAAACTATACAAAGCACTAGGATTTCTAATGAATCCTCTTAGAAGGATTCATTAGAAGGCTATTAGTCATTAGCCCCTTCTTGAGAGGAGAAGTGCCAACTGGAGAGGCAGCAGGAGAGCAAGAGAGTGTTCCAGAGGCTGCTCAAGCAGTGGTTAGAGGAAAACTGAGACACTGCTCGTCACGCAAGGCAGATCAGGAGGGATTCAGGCGTAGACGCGGTGTTGCCAGCTCCCGGGCGTGGGACCAGACAGTGAGCTCTAGTTGGAGGACGGCCGACACCTGTGTCATGACCAGAATCCTCCCAGCATGATGTTGGAAGGAAGGTCCTACTCTCTCGTGCCTGTCATTCTTGGATCGCTGTGAGGCATTCTCATGAGGTGGGAGAGAGCGCTACCCTCTCGCTGGCCGTCATCTGTGATCGGCTTTGCAGGCATTCCGGTCTCGGTGTTGTTGATGTGGCAAGGGGGACTGCGTACCGCAGGGTCCTCACCTCATCTCATGTGGCTCCCATGGTGCATGTTGTCACTTTCCCACCCCGGATCTCCATCTTTGCTCCCTACCTTGTTGTCAGTAAGAGATAAAATGTCTGTGTAGTGTCAAAAAAAAAGGGGCTAAGACAATAATAACGGAGATTAATTCTACTGATTCGGATTGTGCTAAGCATGATGTAATCGCTGCCTACCTTATCTTGGTGAGCGTACATCCTCAAGTTATCGTGGAGACTTCAGTATATTATACTGCGGGGATCCCAGCAGTAGAAAGGAGCTGGTAGTGCCTCGAAAGAGTTCACCAGCTAAAAGCTGCAGCAACTGGACCAGTCCAGTGGACTGCCAAAAGCCCTGCCCTTCATGCAGAGCGACCTGAAACAGCGTACACTTCTCAGACCGATCACCTCCGCACGCCCACACCCACGTCACCAGAAGTGAACTACATGTTGATATTGGAGAAAAGCATAGCATGGGAGAATCTTACCCTGTGTTAGGTCTTTGTAAAGCACATTTAAATGCACTGTTGACTGCCGTTCCCTAAAAGATTTTAAGGTGTCCTTCCCAGCTGCGTTCCTGATAACGCATCTTTGCATTATAGCCCCCACAACTGTTTTCATTTGGCTCAAAACTTTATTGATGCAACTTCAAGACGTTTGGAAACCCACTTGAGGATGTCCCTCCGTCCCGTACCTACGTCACTCTGCACCGTACCGCCTACCCCCTCCTCTACCCTATCAGCACCATCCTAGAATTTAGTTTATAGATTTGTTCGGGAGGCTCTCTGTTGAGATAACTGATTAGAAAGAAGAGTGATTTTGAAAAGACTGTGGTTAACAAGATTTCTGCCCTAGAACAAGTCAGCATCTCTTCCGGAATGGGTAGTCTATAGAACTTGGGCTAAAAGTGAAGGTATTGCTCGCTAGCCTCTCATCATAGAAAAATCTGAGAACAAACAAAAATTCATCTGGCTGTAAATGCCTCACTGACTAAAGCGTGTGCAAAAGACCACACGTATTGCCTCATGGAGCGAAATTGGGACAGGTGAGATCATGTTGTTACGGGGCGGATGATAAGATGGAGAGACTTGAGCACAAAAGTGCGAAAACAAGTGCGGCTCTGGGGAGCTGAGGGTTGATTCCTGCCAAGGACAGTTGGAGAGTCTTTGATCCAAAATACCATTCAGTTCTGAGCCCTGAGAGGATGCGGTCATTCGTCAGAAACAGCCGAAACATCTTAGAGAATAGGGTATACAGTCTGGGGGACGAGCATGTTGATGGGTTCGCAATAAATAGAAAAGGTATAATTTATTTTATTCGGGAATCCGGCGCGTTGTATTCTGGTTATTATTGGGAGTTGAGACGCGGAGGCTCAGTTGCCAGTGTCGGTTTTTGTTGAACAGCTCACCTGTCACTGAGACTCACGCTGTGGGCTAGCAATGCAGTGCTATTTACTCACTGCAACCTCCAATCCTGAGCTCAAGAGACTTCTTCCTCGAGCGGCTCGGAAAGGGTAGCGGGGAGCTACAGACGCACGACCAGCAAAGCCCGGAGTTTGTTTTTGTTACCTGTGTTTCGATAGAAACCGGGTGCCACTCTTCTCAGGCTAGTTCGAACTCCTGAGCGCAAAGCATATCCTCCTGCCTCGGCTCTGCCAATTATAGGAGTTACATGCATAAGCAGCGCCACCCCAGCTAAACAATATCAGGAATGATTAAGGTACTTGGATGGTGAATTCCGCTGCATTTTGTATATCAGAAGCATGCTCTGCTGCCTGGGCTAGAGTGCCATGGCGTCAGCCTAGCTCACAACAACCTCAAACTCCTGGACTCAAGCAGTCCTTCTGCTTCAGCCTCCCAAGTATCTGGGACTACAGGCATGCACTACCATGCCTGGCTAATTTTTTCTATATATTTTCAGTTGTCCAGCTAATTTCTTTCTATTTTTAGTAGAGACAGGGTCTCACTCTTGCTCAGGCTGGTCTTGAACTCCTGACCTTGAGCGATCCTCCCACCTCGGCCTCCCAGAGTGCTAGGATTACAGGCGTGAGCCACCGCGCCTGGCCTTAAAACTTTTTAAAATATTGAAATTTTAATTTATGCTGTATTTCTCAATGCATGATATAAATCAACATGTTATTTCTCTTTCTCTCAGGTCATGGAACATCCTTTAGTATCGACTGCAACATCTGTTCTTGTTTTGCTGCCAATTTGGTGTGTTCTACCCGCCTATGTCTCAGTGAGCATAGTTCAGAAGATGACCGTCGCACCTTCACAGGTGACCATGGTCGCCCAGAGGCTGTCCTCGGGCAGCCATTATTCCTTTGCACACATTTTTCCCTTCAAGGCAGCTTCTCTGGTCTTGCCTTAACTGTAAATGTACACAGTAAAATAAATGCAGAATCTGAGGGCAAGATACTTTCCCTCTTTGGATCTCAGTTTTGTCCTCTCTGAATTGAAGGCACTAAACTAAATGGTTTCTTAGGGTCCTTCCAGCACTAATATTCTGGAATTCCATGAGTCAAAAGGGACAGAGGGATTGGGATGGTTTTAATTAAATTCAACTTTTCTACCTGGTAAAATACCCCATTTACCCCACCCATTATGGTCTAAAATGTCCATGTATTTTCCCTGTTTCTCAACCAACACCTTCTCCCTCGGGCTACCTTGGCTTACTGGTTCATCTAGGCTCCCACAAATAATATCTCAGAATACTGCTTTCTTGACTTTCCTATGCTTTGCTATTGGTATTATGCTCACAGTCTGCTGGTATCTCTTGGCATCTACTTTTTCCCAGATCTGAAATACCTATGGTTCTGAGTAAAGAGGTACTAGAAAGCTGCCCTTGCACCCATGTCATGCTGCTGCAGTGGCAATCTGATTCTTCTTTCCCTGGAGTTAGTGTTACACATGGAGAGGACTAGGGGTCCCGTGGGAGAATAGAGTCAGGATGTACCAATCTTGTACCTCAAGCCCATGGAAATAAAAAGGAGTTCAGAAATAAGAAGTGAACAGCAGACTGGTGGGGAAGTAGAAGTAGGACTTCTGTACCCCATCTTCTCTCCACCCTAATAAGTACCAGCCTTTACTGCTTTATTATTATTATTATTATCATCATCATCCTTTGTTATTATCTTTCGTCTGACCTGCTGTAATGAGGACAACTCATTCTGATTAGAGAAATCATAGAGGGATGTGGGGATGAAGAGTAAACTAAGATTTCCAGGAAGTTTTTTTGTTGTTGTTAACATCTAAATGGTTTGGGAAGATGAACTTTATAATTAGCAAGACCCTTGTTCCCTATGGTGAGACCCCTAGTGTCCTGGGATAAATTAAGTCAGTGACTTTTGAGCCAGCAGACTCTAAGGGAATTTTGCTGACCCAAAAGCAGACTACATTTCTTGGGACTTGGTGTCCTAGTCCAAACATGACCCAGAGAGAGATACTCATAAAAACTCATAAGTCTGAAAATTACAATAATTTTGCAGATTTACCTTCGTTCTTCCCCATCCCTAAGAAGATGAGAGTAGAAGGAACATATGTGAGGAACTTACAACTTTGCTTTATCTTATTTTTGGTATTACCATTTAACATTCAAGAAATACCCTAGCCAGACTTCAAACACCTAAATTCTAGATTTTATTTTTGTTTGTTTGTTTTACTTTTTTTAAATCTATTTTTGTGAGAGGAATAAATTCTAGATTTTACATGCCAGACAAGGAGAAACATGATTTACTTTCCCTACTAATAGCCTGTTTATAGGGGTATCTACCTGGGATCAAGATCTGGAGGCCCTCTTCTAGTTAGCAACAAAAAGGACAAGGAAAAGCCATCTTGCAGACAAAGGTCTCTTCACAGCATTGTTGCCTTTAAAAATCCTGTCAGAAATTGGAGAGTTTTTTTTTTTCTGTCTTAATTTATAATTCTATTTTAATAAGATTGTTAATGGTTTGCCTTAGTAGGGAAATATGAAGGGCAGGCAATATACATGTACATATTTTTTAGGCTATTTCCTCTTTTCAGGTCTGCCCTGTAACTGTGCAGATCAGTTTGTCCCCGTTTGTGGGCAGAATGGACGCACTTACCCCAGTGCCTGCATTGCACGCTGTGTGGGTTTCCAAGACCATCAGTTTGAGTTTGGATCGTGCATCTCAAAGGATCCATGTAATCCTAACCCCTGCCAAAAAAATCAAAGGTAAGTCAAATGGCTTCTTATTTTTTTCAACCAAAAATCAGTACTTACAAAGTATTTACGATGTACCAGATAGTGAAAATGAAGGTAAGTTAAGCAGTGGTCTCTGTCCTGAAGAGTTTGGAGTCTGGAAGGAAAGAGAGCCATATAAAGCTACTCAATAAGGTGCTGATTGGGAGCCCAGAAGTGGAGTAGTTCATGCCGCCTGGGGAAGGCAGGGCCTGGGAAAGCCACCAGAGGATGTAATACTCAGCTGAATCTGGAAAGATCAGTGAGAGATTGCAGGCATGGTTTACAGTAAAGGAAAGGCAGTGTTGGTGAAGGCAGACAGTGTAACAGGAACAAAAATTGTAGCCATGGAAAATGAGGAGATAACATGGTGCCTGTTGGGAGCTATTGCAACTCTATAAGACTGAAACAGAAAGTGTAATGTAAGGAGAGGTGGCAGATGAGAAGAGAGAAAAGGGTGTATTCTAATTAGTAGCTATTTATGTCTGATAGTCAAAGGAAATTTTCTTTTACTTATATACCTCCATTTTAGGAATTAGCCATGAGAAATCTCTGGAAACATAACTTCAGTACTATTTGAAATCATTTGTCTTGGGCTGCTTTCTCTGTAGTTTCCTCACTAAGCTTAGAGGACAGTTGACCCAGCCTCAATGTGGTGGCCACCAGGACAAGTGTCTTGCTGACTCCCTTAGACTGCAGCCTTGTGAAACTGGAGTTTCCCCTGGCTGCCTCAGAAACCTAACAGGACTCATTCCAATGCCACAGTCCTTTCCATATGAAGGATTTTTTGGAAAATAAGCAGTAGCTTCTTCATCCCTAAAACCTGATACAGCATAAAAGGAGGGGAAGATTTTCTCATATGTTAAAAGAAATGGCTAAAAACTGGTCATCCATCTGCCAAAATTTATGCAATGAAAACTAAGCCAAGAAAATTTCTATAGAAAGAAGACAGGATGCCATGCTAAAGAAATAAGCCCAAAAGGATAATACAGGTTGTATTGGGAGGTAGGATTGAGGGTTGCTTTGGTGTTTGTTTGCTTGCTTGTTTGTTTGTTTTCTCTAGTGGCTAACCTTTCTGAATAAGGTTGTCTTGCTTTTACAATAAAATGATAAAAAGAGGCCGGGTGTAGTGGCTGAAGCTTGTAATCCCAGCACTCTGGAAGGCTGAGGCAGGAGGATCACTTGAGCTCAGGAATTTGAAAGCAGCCTGAGCAAGAAAGCAAGACCCTGTCTCTAAAAAAGAAAGAAAGAGAGAGAGAGAGGGAGGGAGGGAGGGACGAGGAAGAAAGAAAGGGGGAAGGAAGGGGAGAAAAGAAGGAAAATGAAAAGAAATCTGAAAGTGGAAAAGCCTTTTTGGGTATGATACAAAACTAATAGAAAAGATTGAAATTCAGCTATATGAAAATCAAAATTTTCTGTGTGGTAACAAACAAATGACAAACTGGGAAGAATATAACAGAGAAGAATACAACAGAGTCCTTGTATTATAAGGACTCAAGTCCTTATAATACAAAAAGGTTCCACAAATCAATGTGGCCATCAGAGACATAGGATCCTTCCATATAGTGACTCTGCCAACTTCTACAGCCTCATAGTCCTCCTCTGTATCTCTGTATCTGGACAGCAGATAAGAGAAGGGAGACAGTGGGAGTTGCTCTTAAGAAGCTTTTATGGGCCAGGTCTAAAAGTGACATTCATTACTACTTCCAGCTACATTTCACTGTCTAGAACTCAGTCAGTTGGCCACAGCTAACCTCCAGGGAGACTGGGAAATGTAATCTAGATATATACCCAAGAAGAAAATTAAATGAATTTGATAAATATCTAGCTGATCTGCCACAATGCTTAACCTTCCTCATATTAAGGGAAATGTAAATTAAACTATAATTGTATACCATTTTTCATCTATCAGATTAGCAAAGATAAACATTTGATAACATAATATAGGGAAACAGCTACTGTCATAAAAGAAGGGATTGGAGGATTGGTGCATCCTTTATGGAGGGCAATTTGGGCAAAATTATATTTTCTAATGCCCATACCCTTTGGATCAGCATCTGTAAATTCTTTTTTTGTTGTTCTCTTCTTTTTTTGTTGTTACCCTTCTGTTCTCAGTACCACAGCATCTATAAATTCTTATACTTACATAAAATATCTTTAGAAAGATAAATAAGAAATTGGTGATAATGGTTGCCTCTGGGGAAGGGAACTAGGAACCCAAGTAGGAAGGAGGCTTATTTTTTATGATGTACCATTTTGTTCCTTTGTTTCACCTTGGGCTTATAGTATCTATTCAGAAAATAATTGATTGTTTAAATCACTCCCACTGCTTCTCTTGACCAGCCTTAAAAAAAAATTTTTTTAATAATTAATTATTTAAATACAGAAGGTTGTATTCATTTATCAAGTATCAACTGATATACTGGTTATTTCTAAACATTAGGACACAGCAACACGCGAGACAGACCAAGTCCCTGCCCTGCTCATGCTCTCTTTCATTTGCCCCCAGATTTTCGCCTTTTTTTTGATCCTCTTACTTTCAAATACTCAAATTTATCAAGTTTTTCTCTGCAAATTACTAAATTTCTCCTGATATTCCTGGTTCTCATCCCTTGCATGTTAATAGGTAATAAAGGTCTAAATATTCTTTCTCATTATTTCTCTTTACACATCTTAAATTTTCATAAAATTATAACTAAATGCATTCTGATTTCAGATCACATCAGAAAAGGCAAACCATACGTGGTCGTGGTGATTTCAATGCAGGAGATTATCCCAAAAATAATATAAGTTAATTTCCCTTCAAATTAAAATAACAGTAGCTATTAATACTGTATTCTTCCTTTTTTATTTTACAGACTAATATTTGTATATCCTGTTACTTCAAATACCCAGAGACAGCTAATATTTTCATAAGTATTATCTTCTTATAGAAAGTCATGTATACACCCTTTGTAAAATTTAGGAAAGCAGAAGAATCTGAAGAAGAAAAGATCCATCATCCCTAACCCCTCTGAAGGAGTTCAGGAGTTGAGAATGAAGCGAGATCCAGATATTACTAAGAAAGACCAGCTTCATGGTGGCATTCTCTCAGTGATTTGCAACCAGCCAGTGTCAGTTCCTCAGTCTTGTAGGCACAGAAATCTGAATTTTTTAGGACATAGAGTGAAGCCTTTTCTTAAGATGGCCTCATATTGGCCAAGCTGAAAATTAAGCACCTGAAAATATTTCATTTGTTATTGACTACAAGACTTCCAGCATTGGATCCCAGACTACCAATTGGCCTCATAACACAGCACTTCTGCCCTGCGTGTGCACCCTTGGCTCCTGTCCTCGTGGTCACCTGCCGTCTCCCCAGCACCACACTCCTTGAGCACCACACCTGTGTTCATGGCTGCTCCCTCAGCCTGGCAGGCCTTGGAGCCCTTCCTACCCTCCAGGCTCCAGCTGGAATACCACCTCTTCCTGGTGCCTTCTCCAGGCTCCGCAGTCAGAATGACTCATCCCCATGAGCATTCTGCACGTCTTTGTCTACCTTACAGCCTACTTTATGTGCAGGCTTAACTCTCCCACTCTACGTAAGCTCTTTGGGGACAAGACTATTCTGATTTATCTCTTGCTTTCTCCTCAACCTCCTGGACCTCATCCAGTGTTTTGCCGGCCCCACCACAGCCCCTCCCTGTGTTGGTTCACAGTGCTGCATTCATCTTTTTCAGATGCATACCCAAACCACAAGTCTGCCTGACAACTTTTGATAAATTTGGATGTAGCCAATATGAGTGTGTGCCAAGACAGCTCGCCTGTGACCAGGTCCATGATCCTGTTTGTGATACAGACCACATGGAGCACAGCAATCTCTGCACTTTATACCAGAGAGGAAAAAGCCTATCTTACAAAGGCCCATGCCAGGTACAGTAGTTTGGCTGAAAAATCAAAGTAGGCTAGGCATAAAACTGCTTTTATGATCTTTTATGATCTTTTGCATATGAATCAGCAGTTAGACCACTTGAGTGTCTTCTATGAATCCTGTTAAATCTAGAGAACCCAGTCCTCCACTAAAAATGAGACTTCACTCTTTCTCCTGACTCTGGAAGGCTGTCTTGCTAGTGTGTATGCCTTTGCACATCTAGTGTACAAGCAAGAATAGAGAGTGGCTTCTTACAGCCCACTCCCAGGAAAGAATTTAAAGTTTCACGCCCCTGGCGTGGTCAACACCATTTTCACTTCCCGTCGTTCTGTGCGCCCTCACTAGAAAGTAAAGCAGGAAGAATGTGAATTAAAACAACCAAGAAAAGAGTTTTCCCACTCTTCCTACCATAGTCCCACCTCCCAAGATACTGAAAAGTGAAAATTTCTCTAAGACTTAATGTCTTTTTACATCAGCTTATCTTTTAATCTTTTAGGTTGTGGAATCTGCATTGATTTTTTTAAAAAAAACTAACCCCAAGGATAGCCCTTTGGGGCTTCCCACATGCACCACAATTTTATGCTGACCCCTCTCCCTGGGGCCCATCTTTGAGGCAGCATCCCCTGCCCACAACCAGCTAACACCAGCCACGATTGCTTCTCCTTTTCTGGTCTTCATGGTTAGAAAAAGCCCTTCAGCTTATCTCCCTCAGTGCCCTAAAAGCCTCAGTGCCAATTGCATTGATACTATCTACTTTGAATTCCCAGTCTTCTTTTCTTATTTGTTCCCTCTTCCTGGCTACGACTTCTCTCTGATCTACTCCTAACCTACCTGATGCATCCAGAGTCTGTCTGCCCCACTGATCTCTCCATTCTTCCCGCTCCTTATTCCATACCCAGCATGAAATGATAAGGCCTCCAGATGTGCATGAGTTGATCTTGTTTTCTTCAAACACGCACCTGTAGGATACTAACAGAAGTCTGGGAGGAGGGAAGAGAGGTGGCAGGAGGGGGGATTTGGGGATTTTTATCTCATATCAGTTCACATGGAATGAGCAGCCAAGTCCTGGAGAGGCTGAGAAAAGTAACCTTTTCAGTTCATCTAGAGACAACCCTATTTCTCTCCACACACACACCCCCCTTTGGCCCACCTCCTGAGGTGGGCCACCTTCAGAGGGTGCCCACAATTTATACCTGTGTCTTTTTTCCGTCCTGAAAATAGGAAGTCATGCTGGGTACTCTTGGTTAGGAAAGGTGCACCATAGAGGTTTCCAGGCTAATTGTGATTTGTTTGCCCTCAGCCCTTCTGCAGAGCCACAGAGCCCGTCTGCGGGCACAATGGTGAAACCTATAGTAGCGTGTGTGCTGCCTACTCAGATCGTGTGGCAGTCGATTACTATGGGCCCTGCCAGGCTGTCGGGGTCCTCTCTGAGCACAGTTCTGTTGCTGAGTGTGCTGCTGTGAAGTGTCCTTCACTCTCTGCCACTGGATGCAAACCCATCATCCCACCTGGTAGGCTGGCAATATTTGGGGTGGGCAGAGCTGGGATTGGGAAGATTTGCTTATCATCCTCCAGAGAGTGAGTCATTAAGATGAGAGTTGACTAGTTTATTTAAATTTTTCAAAAACTCTTGAAGAAGGCCAGGTGCAGTGGCTCATGCCTGTAATCCTAGCACAGGCCGAACCTGGGAGGCCGAGGCGGGAGGATCACTTGAGTTCAAGATCAGTTCAAGACCAACCTAAGCAACAGCGAGACCCCATCTCTACAAAAAATAGAATAATTAGCCAGGTTCGGCGGCCTGCACCTGTAGCCCCAGCAACTTGAAAGGCTGAGACAGGAGGAGGTCCCTTGAGGCCAGGAGTGTGAGGTTGCAGTGAGCTATGATCATGCCACTGTACTCTAGACCAGGCAGCAGAGGGAGACCCTATCTCAATAACAAAACAAAACAAAAAAGTCTTAAAGAGACCCTTATACTAATTAGACCCATTACTCTGGGTTGACCTTAAAAAGCTGTGGATTACTTTATGTAGCATCTGGTCCTGTGATTTTAAAACAATATGGCAACCTTTTTTCAAGCAAAATCTTACACCAAATACCAATATGTAAAGAGATGAAATGTATTTGATTACTAAAATTAGGATTATTACTTTAAAAGCACAATGTTTACTTATTATACAGTTAATGAATTATTCTTTAAGTAATTAAAGAATAAAGTAGTTTTGATGAACACAAATATTTGAAATTGAGAGAAAATAGTTGTCTTAGAATGGTCTTAGCATCTAATTTAATTGTTTTAGCTGCATATAATCAGGAAAGTCTTGTTTCATGCAGTCTGTTGTAAGCAGTAACAGTTTTTTTAAGCAGCTTACCTTACAGTCTCACACTCTCCAGTTAAACAGAAGTAGCAGAAGAGACTTTATTCCAAGTATTCATGGACAGGGTAATCTGGAGTCTATCAAGTTCATTCCTCCATCCATTAATTCATCAAATGTTTACTGAACTTCCACTATGTGCCAACATTCCTCTAAGTACTGGGGACACAGTAGTGACCAAAACAAAGCTTTTTTCCTTCAGGAGACCATGTTCCGGGGGAGGTGACAGACCAAACACAAGTTACCACGCAAATCTATAATAAGTCAGGTGGCAACAAGTACAATGAGGTGAAATGGAGGGAGAAGGGGAGGGCCAGGGGTGGAGAGGCTGCTAATGGACTGGTTAATGATCTCTGTTGTGTTAAAATATAGTGTATTTATATTTGATTATGCTATATTCTGGTATGGTTTTTGAACAGTTTAAAATGATTTTAAAAATTAAATCTGAATCAAACACTCATGGGATGCCTGAAACATGAGCTCCCTTATTTGCAGAGAGGAAGACTAAGGCCTAGGAAAAGCATTTGCCCAGGATCACACAGCGAGCTCTGAGGCAGAGCAGGAACAGGGCCCACATCTCTTGAAAGACCAGTCTTCTCTGTGCTGTCTGCACACAGCCTGAGAAGTGGTGAAGGACAAAAGCAGGGAAGGATTTTGGCAAATGTACAGATTATTAAGACCCCCAGTTGGCAGTCATCAGGAAAGACAGCTATAGCTCTCCTAGCCCAGAATGAAGGGGTGGTCATTTCACCAGCTACTTTGAATTCTCCTTCTTTCCAATTCTGAACACACATAAAACGGTTTCTATTATACAGGTGCTTGTTGCCCATTATGTGCTGGGATGTTAAGAGTTTTATTTGACAAGGAAAAACTGGATACTATTGCTAAGGTAAATTGCTATATATGCCAGGTACTGTTGAAACCCTATTGCTAACCCTCTCAGTAAATCTAGAGAGTAGAATGTATTGTCCCCATTTATAGAAGAAGAAACTAATCCTTAGAAAGCAACTTGCCCAAAGCCATACGGCTCATAATCAGCAGGAGTAGGGTTTGCACCCAGGCTGGCTAACTCCCAAGCCTGTGCTCCTTCCCTACACACCCTGGCTGTGCATGGCACTGTCACATTGATCCTTAGGAAAGGGCCCTGCTGGCACAGCAAGTATAGGTAGGGGCTGCAGGAGGCAGAGCCAGGTAGCCAGTAGCTAGAGACTTATGGATGCCCAGGTGGTTTTAGGGTCCCCTCCCCTCATACCAATCCCCGTGCCTCCTGAGGAGAACTTGTGGAGCCTGCCCCCAACCTATATAGGTTTGCTGCTTTCTGTTTTCTGTGCTGTCACTGTTGCTGCTCCCTTTTGTGAAGACAGGGCTCCAGAAATGTAGCGGCCAACATGTGCCACCACCTAGAGACTTATCCCCATTTGATTAAGACACCTGTATTTTTGCAGGAAGACTTTAATTACCCTATGGTCTCTAACTCAGAACAGTCACTTTTTTAAAAAAGCATTTCTAGGAGTATGTTTATCTTGGTGACAAAGCTCCACAGTCAGGCAAAACCCCATTGCAATGGACTTGGAAGATTTAGAATTTGGCGGAGCAGAGCTATGTTGGGGCCTTGCATTGAGGGCTCCTTGGTCAAAAGAGCCACCTCAGCTGGTAGCCTGAAGCAAGGCAGCTTAGGCGGCAGTAGAGAATTTTTCTGTTTTTCAGATAACAGAATATTTTCTCTTTCTAGGTGACAAATAAAAAGCCAATAACAGTTCTGGAAATACTTCAGAAAATCCGCATGCACGTGTCTGTCCCACAGTGTGACGTATTTGGATACTTCAGCATTGAATCAGAAATTGTGATCCTGATCATTCCTGTCGATCACCATCCAAAAGCTCTGCAGGTGGGGTTCAGCACACGTTGTGCAGCCGTCTTGTCACTTTCAAGTTTGGTGGACCTAGGAGGGAGTGGGCACAAACCAGGAGCTGGGAAGGATCGGGGATCGGCAGGGCAGGAGAGAGAGAAGCAAGGGAGTCTCTGAAGGACCAAGCGCTCTGAGGCAGCTGAGACCCATACACATTTGACAGCAGAATGCATAGGAATGGGGGGGGGGAGGTTGAGATATGCAGAGATGGAAAGGGTCTGAGAAATCATGAAATCCAATCCACCCATTGTACAGACGAGGCAACAGAGACCCAAGGAGGGAGGGAACTGGCACAGGTCATGCAGTAAGAAAGCCAGAACAGAGAACAGACTCTGGTCTCCTGAGGGCTACACCCTATTGTGGAGGAGGATCCCATCAGAGATTGTCCTGAGGGCTCCCATTTTTCTTCCTCACAATCTGGAGATATACAGAACCCCACTCACACAGGCCCAAGGTTCAGCATCAAAGAAATGAGGGCTCATGTGAAGGGGATGAATTCAAGCAGTTTTTGAACTGCCATCATTAGAAACCTCCTTAAGTCAAACTGTTTTCATCCTGTGGTTAAACAGGCATTGAAAGTACATTCTCTATAATACTGTCTAAATGTAGGTAAGAGGTGAACTGGATTGTGGAAAAATGAAAACAGTTGATTGATGAAGGTCATGGCATTGTGGATCATTGTTTTCTGGTTTGATTCCTATTAATGCTGTTGTATTTATATAATAATTTGACTATAATAAAATGTTATTTTGACTAAGGAAAGAAGGACAAAGAGAAAGCAATTTCCTCCAGGGCCACACTACTTTTGGGATGCATGTGGAGTTTGTCTGACTTGACCTTTTCATAGGCTCTGTGCTTTTATATTAAAAGAATCTTATTTCCCCCTCCCAGATTGAAGCATGCAATAAAGAAGCAGAGAAGATAGAGTCCCTTATCAACTCTGACAGTCCTACTCTGGCATCCCACGTCCCTCTGTCTGCCCTCATCATTTCCCAGGTACAAGTCTCCAGCAGCGTGCCATCAGCCGGCATTGGGGCCAGGCCTCCCTGCCACTCTTTCCTCCTCGTCCTCAGCCTCAGCCTTGCCTTGCACTTGTTATGGACAGACAACTGACTGCCAAAAAAAGCTGCAAAGTGTTCCTCGACCTAACTTTCTACCTTGTGAAAGAAATTCAGGACTGCTAGTTTGTTGTTAAATTGTGGCCAAGTAAAAGCACATGTCACCTCTATTCACCACACAGTATTTTTTTTTAGTCTGCCAATATTAGTAGGGTTTTTGTTTTGTTTTGCAAGTGTTAAAATACATTCTTTTAAATACTAATGAAAAGAGGATGTCTCTTCCTGTGGATCACTGCCTTATGATTTACATTTTGCTCATTAGATAAGTCCCCCACTCTAAAGCAAATTTAATTCATTAATAAGTGAGATGATCACATTTTAGAAAAATAACTCATTTTGCTATCAGGATCAGATTACAGAAACTTCATTCCAGAGTTCCTGTAAGTATTAAGGTTCCCTTTGTGTTTGTTTTCGATTACAGATAATTACCTACTCTATCTAGAAGCTAGGGGTCCCAGGGAAGAGCCACTGCTATTAGAGAGTATGAAATATAGATAAAGCATCTTTGAAATTATCATGTAAATCATCAAGCAAATTTAAATTAATTTACAGAAATTTTAATTCAAGACCCCATCTATTGTGTTAAGCAGGAAAAAAAAGCTGACTAAATGACACTCATATAACTATATGTTGTAAGTGACAGTCTCAGTGGTCACTGATTTGTATCTGTGACTTTTGTGAAAGGGAGAAGTTACATTGGATCAAAGCATCTTGCATTATGCAATTTTTATGTTAACCAGATATCTATTCTTCAGTATTCGTCCAAGTTAAATTTAGAGTTCTTAAACATCAATCTTTAAACCAATTGCTGCTACTTATATAATTGCCAAAAAGTGAAATAATTAGTAGTTCATGTAAATAATACATGATATTTCTATTTTATTATGAAGAAGGTGAATAGCCATATTTGTAAAATGACAATCATGTGTGTTAACCCAGTACTTTCCGTTCATGAAAACACATTTGCTTTTTGTGATATGCACAATGTAGATAAGCGTTCTGTCTTACTTTCTTTTTGGACATAGAATTATAAAGAATTGTGGTTTATATATTTAAAAATGTCAAGCTGAGTATTAAAATGTTTGCATGTTGTCTAAGAATTGAATACTTTGAATGTGTTTCACAGTTTGAAATAAGCTATTCAATGTAATACTTCTTGTTTGTATGCACCTGAACTTAGATTTTACATGATTTTTTTTTCAGTATTATATGTACCCTCTGAAATACATAGGGATATGCTTATTATACCAAAATATTGTTAAAAAGTGGGCACTTAAAACTTTCAGAATATCTCAATGCTAATGTAGCATGTTTGTTGCAATTGCTTTTTTTCTGTATAAATGTCTTCAATGCAATATACTGGAAAGCTTTTCTATTTTAATAAAAATAATTTTATATGATCATGTGTGCTTCTAAGCAATGTGGACATTCAGAATGAAGCCACTGATCACCATTGGGTGAGCTGTGTCCTTTGCTCTAGAATAAGAAGTCATGGAGTGTTATTAATACTATCCTAAAGCAAGGACCCTGGGATAGCCAGCCAGTTAGGACAGAGCTTGTCAGACCAAAGGGCAGGCAGTGGCTGAGAGTCAAGTACAAAGACCCCAGCTTTAGGCCTTCAGGACAGAGAGAGCTTCAGGCCTTCCACGATCCAGGGACATACTAGACAGTTCTACTTCCCCACTGCACTGGGCCTGATGTTCCAGCTCCATGGCACAGCCTGGGGCGGAGCGAACTTTGGAACACAGAGATGGAGGACATGGTGATGGGACCTGAGAAGTAGTGTTGGTCAGCTTACGCTGAGTCCCCAAAACTTCAGTGGCTTGCAACAACAGAGGCTTCCATCTTGTTCCTGTCACATGTCCATTGTGGGTCAGCTGCAGCTCTTGACACCATCTTCATTCTAGACCCCTTCCAGTGTCCTCACAAAGGAGAGAAAAGAGACATACAGAACTACAAGCTGGCTCTTAAGTCTCTACTCAGAAATGACACTGTCATTTCTGCCTATGTTTTATTGGCCAAAGCAAGTCACATGGCCCCTCCTAAGTTTAAAGGGTGGGGATGTATACTCTTCCCATGGAGTGTGTGTGTGTGTGTGTGTGTGTGTGTGTGTGTGTGTGTGTGTGTGTGTGTGTGTTGCATGGAGAGGCAATAAATATTTTAAATAATAGAGTCTAGCATAGAGGTCTTTTCTCATAGGGATAGGACAACAGCCAGGACAGAAGCTTTTTTTATTAGAAAAGCAGTAGAAGTTTCATGTTCTGGAAGAAAAATAAGAGAAATGAGAAGGGTGCTTGGGTTTGGTGTGGGATGTTGGGGTATATCAAGGGAAAGAAAGATCTAAAGGCTTGTTCTGCTCTGGGGACACCATCATGAGAATTTCACAAATGGTGATGGCAAAAACAAGCACAGGTCAAGTCAGTTCAGGGAGACATGCTCCTCAATGGCCAGCTGCTGTGGTGGACACCCCCGCTGCCTCGTGGACAGTCCGTCAGTAGCTTCCCAGCACCACAGCAGGTGGAGCCTCTGATAGACGGGTCTCCAGTGTTCTGCCCAGGGCCAAGTGTGTCAGTCTGGGAGAGGCCTTGAGATCTTATGGGAAAGAACTAGAACTGTGTTTACCCCCAACATTTCAGCATTCATTCAATATTTCTTTATGGTTCTTTCATATGTTTTTTGTTATTTGTCTAGCTCCTTCCTTTAGTCTACCAACTAATTTATTTTTGTCTTTTTAAATAAGCAATATAATAGTATTTAAGATTTACTGACCAACTACCATGTTTCAGGCTATTTTAGGGAACTTTTTTATTAAAGATCAGAGAAGAATCTTCTCCCTTCAGGCCCCCAATTAGATTATTTTTGTAAGTCAATGAATAGAAGGTTCAACATTTTAAAAGATATAGATTCTTGTCATGTGAGGAACGGCCAAGAATGACCAAGAAGGCTCCTGGTCCCCTTGCTCAAGATTGTCCAAGGATTCCTGTGACATAAGTATAGCACCAAGTACTCCAAATGAAGTATCTCCATGGAGTTCTCACAACCATTCTATGAGGAAAATAGTATTATTAACACTATTTATAGTTGATGTAACTAAGGCTTGAGGAAATTAAATAACTTCTCCAAGGTCACACATCTGGTTAATAGCAGAGTAAAGAGACTTTGGACGCAGGTCTAACTCAAAACCTATGCTCATATTTATCATACTGTATATTTTCCTCTAAGTACTGCTTTGACTGCATCCCCTGTCATTTTCCGATAACACTAATAAAAAAAACATAACAGGATAAACTAAGATTTTCTGCCAAGGTTTTTCTTTCCACAACTTTTGTAGTTGCTATGGCCTTCTACCCATTGGCTTCTACGGTGAATTTTTTATTCAAAAATCCTCTGCAGAGCAAAAGCCAAAGGCTGGAGGGCTTAAAGCACAGTTTGAATCATAACCATAGTTTGGGGAAGAATTCATAATGATGTGAGAGCTGAGACACTGAGAAGGGGCTGAGTCATGGGGTGTAGCATGTTCTGAGGAAACAGATTTAGGACAGAAACAAAATTCCCCCTTCTGAGAATGGAGATATGGCAGGCGCTTGCTGGTTTTTGGTTGTTCAGTGGGTGGCAAAGTCTCTCCTTCTGAGTGTAAAAGATCCTGTACCTGTAACTATGGAAGCTGAGGGGGGCAGGCATTTCCTCTGCTCCCTTTCTGGAAGCTTGTGTAAGGGCATGCGGCTAAACAGCTAAACAGATGTTCCTGCCCATGAATCCGAGTCTGGAGAAGGTGACTCAAAAGTGTGGAGAGGAGCCAGAAAGATCCTGAATTGCTTGAATATTTATCCTAAAGAAAGTAGATGGGACTGGGTTTCTTGGAATGTGTAAGTTTAAGTTTTCCACGAGCAGCAGAATTTGTGATTGCTCTATATAGAGAAAGAAAGCAATCTTTTTACAATCAAAATTGTAACCGTGAAATATGATACACATGCAAATAGGTGGCATTTAAAGAGCGCACTGCAACCTTGAACTCCTGGCTCAAGCAACCCTCCCAGCTCAGCCTCCCAAGTAGCTGGGCCCACAGGCACATCACTGTGCCAGCCTCTGAACATCTGTGTTGATTTTGCCTGTCGGTGCTCTAGGGTAGCTGTTTAAAAAATTTTCTAGATGATTCACAATTGTCAGTTAACCTTTTGTTATTTAGTTTTAGTTTTATTACATTGTGTTCAGGAAATTTGACTGAATTTTTTCTACTTTCAGGAATTTATTATGGTTTACTTTAAGGCCTAATATTTGGGCAGTTTTTGTATTTGTTCCACATAAATTTCAAAATAATGTTATCAAGTATAGATGGCCTCAGCATGAATTAAAAGACAGATATTGTCAGGCTCGATAAAAAGAAGAACCCAACAACATCCTGTCAACTACAAGCTGCCCATTTATTTTTATTCTTTTTTATTTCAAAATATTAATTAAGGAGGTATAAGTGTATTTGTTATAAGGACATCTTGCATAATGCTTAAAGTCAGGGCTTTTGGTGTGCCCATCACCAGAATAATGTCCATTGCACCCAATAGGTAAGATTTTATCCTATACCCACCCACCTGTCCTGCCCCCTTCTTGATTTCTCATGTCCTTTATATAGCTTTGTGCCCGTGTGTACCCATCTGTTAGTTCCCACCTATTAGTGAGAACATAATAGTGTTTGGTTTTCCAATCCTGAGATACTTCACTTAGGATAATGGTCTCCAGTTCCCCCCACGTTGCTGCAAATGACATTATTTCATTCTTTTTTATAGCTGAATAGTACTCCATAGTGTGTGTGTGTATGTGTGTGTGTGTATAAAACACATTTTCTTTATCCATGAAAAGAGAAAGGAATGCTTAGACAGTGTTGGTGGGACTGTCCGTTTTTAATATAAGGAAATAGGTTAAAAGTTAAAAGATGTTCTGCAGAAGAGTGGACTCAGAAAGAAAAAGTTAAAGGATGGAGTAGTGGTACACATTTCTATAGCGCTTTTCATGTGTCAAAAACTGTTCTGAGTATTTTACATGTATTAACACATTTATTCTCACAACCATCCTATGAAGGAGATACTGTTACTATCCCTGATTTACAGGGAAGGAAAACTGAGTCAAGTAATGTGTCCAAGGTTGTACATTGGTCATATGAAGTTTGTATTTGGATATTTTACAGAGCATTAAGTTGTAAGGAAGTCAGTGAAAACAACATTGCAATAAAACAAAAAGCATATATATTTTTGCCTATGTGTGCAAATTTTGGCTTATATATTTTCATACACTCAATATACTTAGCCTTCACAATGCATCAAAATCAAGTTTTATGGCAGTAAGCTATAACTCTATGAAACACAAAAGCAACACTGTATTTTACTACATAAAACATTAGTCTTCTGAGTTTGCTAAAAGAAGGAAAAAAAAGTTAAAGAATGGAAATTGGGTCCAGCTAGAACCTTTCAAGGTATGAAGAGTAAGCTTGACAACAGTGCATGGAGCAAGTTTTCAGAAGAGGCAGACCTTCTATTCTAAAAACTGCTAGGGATTTCATATGACCACAGCAAGCATGCAGCTTACCCTTCAAAAGGCACTTTCATGGATGCTGATGGAAAGAGTAAACAACATCTTTCAATGTAATAAGTTTCTGCAAACCATCTGGAGGAGTGATTACTCCAAATGGGAAGTTTGGGAAGGGAAAGTTAACCCAATTGAATAATGAAGGGATGTTTTAATTGTTTGCCTGTTAATTTTAAGTGGAAATAAACATGGATCATTAAGACTCAAAAAAAAAAAAAAAAAGAATGGAAATTGGATAAACCTGTTAGCACTAATTGAAAGAAAGCTAGAATGACTATACTAGTATTGGACAAAGTAGATTTCTCAGGAAGGAATATTACTAGAGATAAAGTTCTTTCATAATAATAAAAGAATAGGCCGGGCGCGGTGGCTCACGCCTGTAATCCTAGCTCTCTGGGAGGCCGAGGCGGGCGGATCCTTTGAGTTCAGGAGTTCGAAACCAACCTGAGCAAGAGCGAGACCCCGTCTCTACTATAAATAGAAACAAATTAATTGGCCAACTAATATATATACAAAAAAATTAGCCGGGCGTGGTGGTGCATGCCTGTAGTCCCAGCTACTCGGGAGGCTGAGGCAGAAGGATCACTTGAGCCCAGGAGTTTGAGGTTGCTGTGAGCTAGGCTGACGCCACGGCACTCACTCTAGCCTGGGCAACAAAGTGAGACTCTGTCTCAAAAAAAAAAAAAAAAAAAAAAAAAAAGAATAAATTTATCAAGATGAAATAAGAATCATAAATGTTTATGCTCCTAATAAAAAGGTTCAAAATATATGAAGCAAAACTGATAGTACCTAAAGGAGAAATACACAAATCTACAATTATAGCTGAAG